AAAGTGGTCAGCTCTGGGACTTCTAAATGCTAACAAGTGAGACATCAAGTAAGTTCTAGATATTGTCTCAGTCCCCATTTTTTAAACCACAGATACTTCTGAAGACATCAATCACTCATTCCCCAGTCACTATTATTTGAAGGACATTTTTATATCACCTTAAAGTTCACTCTCAAAATACATTTCTTTTACTTTAATCACACATACCAGCCGCCAGGTAAATTATGTTCTGAGCCTTTCTTAATATTATTTTTTCTTATATTTTCTTAGAATAGCCATAATCTCATTAATTAGAGTCTCATAATCTGAGCAAGCTAACAAAAGAGAAAAAAGCCTTCCTTTCCTGACAATATTATTCTAACTAAAAATTATAATTGGTAACAAAGTTAACAAACCTAGAATTAGATCACATACATCAGGAGGTCATCAAGTGTAGCAGAATGTCAGTGAATGATTTTTAAAAAGTATTAGTATAACAATCTGGTTTCATAATTGGTGAGCTGTAGCTTCTTTTTATTGCATGTAAAATGAAGAGATTCCTACATCCACAGTGAAAAATGGAAAATCATTCAGTTTGGGGTTTTTGGTTGCTAGTAGCAACAAATACTGGAATATTGCCATCTGGCCTCTTGTTTTAAATGAGATTTGAATAATCAATTTAATAATGGATAGAGTACATACTTAAAGAAATAATCACTTGTCATATCTTAAGAAAACTTTGGTATAAAAAAAATCCACTGTATGAATTAATGCAGAACACATAACAATCAAAAGAGATGAGGTAATTTTTATTTTTGTTACTGTTGCCTCAAAATCTCAAGTTTACAAGGTTCTAAGTCATCCCATCAAACATCTAATAATGAGGGGAAAGGACTAAGAGCATATGGTTTGTTACAGGCACTCAAACCCAATAACCACCAGAGGGATTAAACCATATAGAATGGCATTTTAAACACACATTTTGAACTAAGTCCTCTGGTGTCCACAATAAAAGAAACATAATTAAACACAGCAGAAAAAAAAAGATTAAATTAGTATAATATTCATGTTACTATTACTGCTTCAGACAAGATAAAATAAGAGTTCAGAACATGAAATTACAAGTGTTTTCTTCATTTATAGGATGTTTCTATAGCTGGCAAAGTGTTCCCAAACACTGTGGTGAGACCAGGAACAGGCTCTGGGTGTTGATTCTGTCCTGGAAATCCTGGACTCACAAAGATATTCCTTTCTGAATTTGCATATCTAACTGCCATCACAGGAGAAATAAATAGGCTTCAGATGCTTGACCATGACAAATTAGGAAAATATACCACTCTGGAATAAATAAGATAAATGTTAATCACAGATTTTCCCAACGCTGATTTTGACTGGAAATCAAGGTACCTATTTTCAACTAACTCTGTATGAGTTAAGCTCACTCCTTTAATGAGAAAGTATTCTCTTGAAAGGTCTCGCCCTTGAACTGTGCATTTATTGTAATAAATGCAGTTTCTGCTTAGAAGCGCTTCTTTAGCAGTAACCAGAGACTGGCTCCATTTCCACCTCTTTAGAAGAGAAAGTGCTTGGAGCCAGACTGGCACCACCTTCCCTTCCCAAGTACCACAGACTTCAGGTACAAACACAAAACATGCCTGGGGATGAGGTTCAGTCTGGGATTTGATCAGTTTTATAGAGTTTGGGGCTTGTAAGTAAAACAAATTTTACATTACACCATGGTGCCAACAACATCATCATTGCAACTCTGCTCTCCCAGGTGACCTGCCAGCTGACACCAGCAGTGCAGTGACAGTGGCAGTGGCAGTGCCAGGCTCTGCCTTCCAGCAGGGCTCCACCGACTGCCAGGGGGCATTTACCACTCCCATGACTTGGGGACTACTTGTGACTTTCTGCCCCAAATGGAGAGTGCATGTTGAAAATGAGCGATGCCAAGATTATCATATATAAATGTATTGGTACAATCTGAACCACTGCACAGTGATACATATTTTTAATTAGTGAAAATAGAGAAGTGTCAGGTGGTCAGAAAATAATACCAGCTCTATAGATGAGCTCTTTCTCTTGGTTAGGTAGGTCCACAAGTTGCAGTTTCACTAGGAGTTAATCACAAGGGGATATTGGGAAAAATTTTTAAAGCCTTTATTTCAACACTTCTTGCTGTTTACAGCAGTTCCTTGTGACCATTTATCTCTGACATTTATAAAACACTAATCACCATGGAAATGCCTAGTATATATCCCCATCAAGAAAGACAAAGTCACTGCCTCCTTCATTGTGTCTTTTACCAGAGAACTAATATCTGTAGGTGGCTTTTCCATGCAATATTATATTTTAATATAAACTTCTTCCAGGAGCTAAACATAATTTAAAAACCTTTAAATATGGAAAAGTACAGACTGCTAAATAACTTCCCCTAACTCACTTTCAAATCATGGGAGGAAATAAAAGAACTGATAATGGTCTTCCAGCAATCAAAAGAAGAAGGAATTTTCAAGCAGGAAACATAGGAGAAACCACTCTGCCAAGGAACTTGACAAAAAAGTCTTGCTCACCCAGAGAAGTTTACAATATATAATTCCATAAGCTCCTATGGAAAACAGAAACTAAATTTCAAACTTAACACATTTCATACTACTGAATTAAATAGTGTCCCAGCAGAGGGAAATACAACATCTTGACAATTCTCAAAAAATCTTGACAAGCCTAACACTGTTTATTAAAGAAAAAAATTAAAAGGTATCTAACAAAAGAGTATATGATTTCTAGCCCATATCTGGGCTGGGAATTAAAGGAAACCTCACAGAGAGGGCTGCTGCAGAGCCAGGAATCCAGGACTAGCAAACTCCAAGGTTTATCATCCCTCAGCCACCTGGGTACAGATTGTCTCGTGCCCCAAGAGAAGGCACATCACAGGAAGGAATTCTCTAGAAAAGCAGGTAGCATTTTCCTCATCAGATGGGACAGATAGCAATCAGAATAAAACCAAACATTAAAGATAACTCCTCAAAGAGTAAGAAAGAGCTCTGGCTGTGTGACTGCAGTGCTGGTGCTCTGTGCCAGGCTGAGGAGCAGCAGTGAGCACGAGGTTCAGGCCTGAGTTTCACCAGGCACAGCAGCTCCTCCTGCTCCAGCTGCTGATCATTGTCAAACCTTCTTTTGAAAAATGCCACTCTCAATCTTCCATTGAAGAAAAGTATTCAAATAGCATAGATGAAAATGCTATCCATTTCTTAAGAAATTATGTTTTCTTTCCTATTGCTGAAGTTTGTATCTTTGGGTTACTAGCATTTAAGAAGGTATTCAAAAATAATTTCTATAAGGGCATATCCTCCTAAAGCACTTTCATAGACAAAGTACCTCAAAGAAAATACTTTTTTTCCCTTTTTCTTCATTTCAGCAAGACAAGAGGCATAACATTACAATCAGAGATAAAAGCTGTCCTTATTCTCTGACAATCATAACATTAGCAAGCCAGATGTTGCTTTCACCTGCACCTAGAGCAATCTCTTTCTACCTCACTTAATAAAACCACAATTGGAATTGTGGCTCAGAAAGTGCTGGGAAAATACAAAAATACAAAACAGATGTGCAAGGACAGTTATAGGTATATGGACACTGTAAAACTCTTGCTTTCATAAGTCTTCTTGTGATCTGTAAGCTTATCATGCTATTTAAAGCCATGCACCATTCTCAATAATGTTTTGTTCCCAAAATTCATACAAACACAGTTCACCAGAAACATATTCTTAGAAAGTGTTCTGAAATTCGTTCTCTAAAGTTAACAAAATGAATTATTTTTCACTAGAGAGAATTTCACTGAAATCTTCAGAGAATTAATGGAACATAACCTTATCAACACTGTAATCATCATTCATGGAGAAGTATTTGCACGGTTAACTGTAGTAAGGAGACAAGAGTCAAAAAAAGTAAACCTCAGGATATTCCTGGCAACATAACTCCTCAAAGATGAGAACCTGAGGGCTGACCCTGCATGCCTGAACAACACCCAGTGATGCCTCTGCATAGTACTTCGAAAGAAAAGGAAAGTACACAGAAAGAAAGGAATCCTCAAAATTCATCCTGCATAATGCAGAGATGCTCAACACAGCAAATACAAAGCATTGCAGAAAAGTTGTAGTGACTGAAATTTTGAACAATTAGGAATCTCTGAAACCCTCCACTAGCTCTATTTCATTTATTACTTTTTCAAAGGAGCAGGTTTATGGAACACTCAAAGCACCAGAGCTGATCTACACAATGCCATCACGTAGGGCAGGGCTGGGCATATTCCATGAAGCAAAAATGCAAGACTTTTTTCAAAAGTAAGTACAAATATAGGCCTTACTTTTAGATTTTTTTTCTTTTAGCACCCTTGTCACTTTGTTAGCTTGAATGACAAACATCACTAAAAATTGAATAGCAATTCAATCTAGTAATTTGCTCAGCATGTTTCCTGGTGCACATTCAAATGGTCCAGAGACGTTGTTACACAGTAAAGGACTTTGCATGGTGAACGCTGAGTGACTCACATTTTTTAAAAGGAACCTGGAAAACATCCCATGCAATGCATCTGCTCATCTACCATAAAATTTTGAGGCTAAGGTTTCCTAAGTAGGAGGGAAATATGATTATGTACTTGGCATCAATATGAACTGTACCACATTCATTTTCTTCTGTGGAAAAACAGAGGGAGATGTGACCCTTCTGATTCTCCCACATAACTCTGTAAACTATGAAATATATGGCTTGTTCTAACAGGACAAGATCTGTAAAACTCCATGTGAGCTGTTGCTGATCCAGAGGCCATGCTGCTTGTGTCTGAAACATGGGACATAAGTACATGGAATAAAAATTCATGGGAAACAGGCCTGAACAAATGGTGTGCAAGAAGGAATGCTGCAGAGTGTGAATGCAAGCACAGAATACAAGCTACAAGCTGAAGGGAAAGTGGAGTGGGAGTTCAAAAAAAAAAAAAAAAAAAACAGGCAAGGAAGGCTCACCTTTTTTTTCTGAAGTTCCATCTTTGGATTAATCACTGACAAGTCTGTGGAAGTCTGAGGTGTTTCCAGATGTTTTCATTATGGATTTTTCTAACAGTCCCATGGGCTTATCTTGGCACACCTTGATAGCACATGTTTTAAGTCTGTAGAAAAACAGAGATGTACCTTCATGGACTTCTCCCAGCAAGCATGCTCATAACTTCTCATAACTGGAATATAAGGAGGAAACCCTGAGGAAACATTTTTACTTTCTTCAGTGGAGATGGACAAAATTTTGGGGCATGAAGGCCATTTCCTCAGGTTCTCATTTGTTAATCACAACATTCTCCTGCATTACAGTATGTAAAATATTAAAATTCACTGTTCTTAACCTCCTATACTCTCTTTTTGAGACACAAGGCAGACCAAGGTGCTATGCCCATCCTGGAAGGTGACAGTTAGTGACAAAGAGAAGAACCTGATGTGTTTCCTCCCAGTTTACCATCCAAGGACTGCAAACAGCTGGTTTGGGGTGTTCTGTACGTGGGGTAGCAAAGGAAGGCTGTGGGATTGCCCTGTTCCAAATCTTTATGTGCTTGGACTGAGCCCTGTGCAGAAGCAAGGCAGGAAGCTTGTCCTGGCCTTGGAGAGGTGTGCTCCAGCCCTGCCAGCAGGACACTGGGGACAGATTACAACAGAAGCTAGACTGGAAATTTCCAGAAAAAAATAAAGTGTCTGGCAACATCATGGCTCCAACCTGAGGAGCTGAGTAAAAAAGAAATTTTCTAGAAATCATAGAGACTCTGTGATGTTTGGTTTCTCCAGAAGCCACTAAGCCAATGGACTGAAAAGCAAAATAGGAGACTATCTCTTCACCAATCTCTGGCAGGCAGGAGTAATTTATTTTAATCCCATTTTGTGGAGGATTTCCCTCATTCAGCAGTTCTATTTGTGCCTTGTTACAGAGCTAGTTTGCTTTACATTTTTATTAGTGGATTTTGATTAATACATCCTAAAAAATGGGAAGCATTTTGGTTTGCTGATGTTAAAGAAAAGAACAGGGGCAGATCCACCTCTGGAGGTCCCATATTCCAGCTCACACTGGCTCTGCTCATAAAACCCAGTAATTAAACACAGCAGCTGGGTCTGTGTTTCAGCTATACTATAGTAACAGTGAAAGTATAGATCTAACATCTGACATGAAGCAGCAGTGTTTTAAGTCTGTCATGAACCAAAGTGCACAGAACAGGTCTTGAATTTTCCATAACCAAAAATACTGTTTGGGACCTCAAAACAGAAGCATAAATTCAGAAGCACTGAGACAGTACAGTGCATGCCTAGATAATCCCTGGTCTGTGCCAGAATCACTGGTCCAGCAGTCTTCTCTTGAGGTATGTTTTCATAGAAATAGCAATGTATATTTGGGAAGCACTAATAAGCTAACAAAATAGCCTTTCTTCCAATTCTTTTACTTGTTAAATGTGTCAATCAGCAAACAAAAGATGATGAAAGAAAATCCACTGCAGGTGCAAGTTTTTTAGGGTAATTGAATACTAGAAGTCCCTGGCAAACTAATATTTTCTCTCTACAATAGTCACTATCCAAAATGATGATTTCCAAGAAACAGCAAACATTAGGGCTTAATTCCTTTAGAAGCAGCAGAAGTCTAGGGCACATGAGAGATGGCTGAATTTGACTAGTGAGGGTCAGCCAGTCTATTAATAAAGGGTGGAAGTAGGAGCAGCTTTAATGTTTCATGTATGCACATATGTGCTTCTAGAGCCTGGACAGGTCGATATGCTCACAGGAGCCACAATGAGGAAATGAGGAATATACTGCAGATAGAATTAGTACCTATTTGTATCCTAAATGCAATATGCAGAATACTTTTATAAGAAAAGTATTATGACACAGTAATTTGGCCATGAGAGGGTAATTGACTTAAGATATTCTGATAAAGATCGATTGCTAGGGCTTGGAGTTATGACACCAACAAAGTTACAATGACATTAGCACAAAGAGAGAGACACAAATCCATTATAAAGATACAATCAAATATTCAAAAAAGCCTGGCATGCTCATTACTTATTCATGCTAATACAAGTATATTAAGAAATCTAAACAGTGTTAGCATTCAATCACTCACAAACCAAATGAGGTTTTGCATTTATCAGGCACCAGTCATCAAGAATGTAACATTAGCTGTACAAAGGTGGTAATATGACATAACTGGAGATATTTATATCAGCCTACACAGACTGAGAGATACAGTAGGATTTATTAAAGTGAGTAATGCCTTCACATTCAGCACAGCAATAAAAGAAATAGCTGTGCAGAAGTCATTTCCCCAGACAATAAGATTTACCTTTGCAATCACTTAAAGAAGTTGTATATGCTTTCAAGGGTTTGAAACAATCTTCTCACCATTAATAAACAATTTGGAGCTTAAGTTTGCAAATACAGAACTGAGTGCTGAAATGTTGAAAACATACCCCAAAAACCAAGTGAGCAGTCAGGGTGTCTGTCTAGCTGGGGTTTAGCACTTTTTCTCCTTAGGCTGGTTAAAAGAACACCAAGGTTAATTTAGACTCAAATGGATGTATAGGTTTAATAAAACTACCTCCCTTTTGTACTTGAATGTCAAATGGTTTAATCACTGCTGGCCCCAACACCTACAACTTTTCCAGCTGTCTATTTCAACACATTCCACTGCATATTTCTACACATTGCACCAAATGCCTTTGCTTTCGTCATCGAGAGTTCAACTGTTAACATTTTTAGGTTGGGTGAGAAGGAGAAATCAAAGTCTGATCACCAACACAACAACATCCAAGCAATTCCAGAACTAAGCAGAAAGCTAAAGGTTGCAATGTGGTGCATGACACAGCTCCTAGAGTGAGGACACAGTGCATCTGCAGGGGATGTTTACACTTGCTCTACAGCAGCACTTGAGCAGGGCATTGCTCTGGTTTGATGCTGATGACATGCCATTTATAAACTGTGACTGATAAACCTAATGCCTCTGAAATCAGATAAAACTTTGATAAATGACTTCTTAGTGAGCAGGCTGCAATAGCCACTTCTGCCCACATTCAGCCACCCTGCTGCAATCAGCACCATTTGGTTTAATCAAGGGTTCAGACAACAACATATTTGAAAGCTATCACACCATTAAGTGATGTGGAGATAATGTATCCTTCAGGAAAAGAGTAAGACAGAAAACTACAAAAACTAAACTCGTTCTGTAACAGGTTTTATAGCACAAGTACTTGCTAGGAAAACCCACAGAATTTAAAGATTACTTTTATTATGAGGGCTTTTCCCAAATTCTGCAGTGACAAGATTTGACAGAGACCCTGTAGCAGAATCAAACACACATGGTAACACAGTCATTTTCTCCTTCACAGGTAAATAAAAAGACCACTGATGCTTTAACAAAAAAAAAGCATATTGTGCAAGAGTGGCTTAAATACCAAAATGATAAAAGGAGCCCCAGAACTACAGCAGTGTAGGAAAAAATAGAATATTACAGTCAATGCAAAATAAAATTTTGCCAAGGCTGCCAAAGTGGTGCCACTTCTTTTCTACAGCTTCCATAAAAATACAATATGAATTTATGGTGATGTCAAATAGCACGAGGTGCAGAAGACCAAGTGAAGACTGATCTGTTTATACCCTGAGCACATCAGCCTGCTTGGCAGAATAAGCTAACAACTCACAGATCCTAAACACTGTCTATTTACACCTTCCCTCTGGGTTGTGTGCACAGGGCACGTGTGGCTGAGTGCAGAAGGATAATATTGTTCATTTGATCTTCACCCAGTGGGACCAGATTTCCAGATTAGCATGATTTTTGAAACCAATGGGTAGCATTGTGTTTGTTACTTTCTGAAGCTGGTTAGCAGCCATGTGAGGTAAAGTATTTCATTTTAAGCAGAAATATTATTAATATGTAAAGTTTTTTAATTTAACTCTGATCCTGAACACAGAGCTGACAAAGCCAGAAGACAAATCAACAATTAAGAAGTAGGTGGGTCAACAATTTCTTATCAAACATACAGCACTCAGTTATTCAAGGAAACCAGTTTATATCTCCAAGCACAGAGCAGATATATGTTCACCACGTTTTGGAAGGAAATAGTTTGACCATCCCCAGTGAAGGAGGAGGCTGCTAAGCTAAGAAGTAGCAGCATCCAGTAGCACTAATGAAATAATCTAGTGCGGGCACTGCTTTAGTAGTGATTTTCTTGCAACCAGGAGACTTAAGGGAAAGCATGATTTTAAAGAAGCTGAAGGATAGGATAAGGATTTTAATGAATGGTGACAAAATCCCATTTTTCATCCCTTAACATCTTCTGTGAAAAGAGGGCAGAACGACTAACAGTGAACTGTGAAGCAACTGGACTGTGCAGCAAATAGTCACAATTAAAATCAAAATCATAATAATCAGAGTTCCCAGGTAAGGCAATTAATGGAGCCAAGATCCACACACCCCTACCCTGGCTTTCTCTTCACCTATGGTAAAAAACAGCCAAGAACAGAATAATGTAAAATCACCAGGTACAACTCACATCATCCTCAAAGACAACCTCTGCTTTGTCTTTGGAAATTAAACAGGAAGCAGAATTACCCAGATAAAGATGATTTGGGTTTATCTAAATGAGCAACTTTCACCTTGTCACAACAAATGACAAATTGAAAATTTCTCAAAAATGCGGGTATATAACTAAAGCCTGCTATTGAATGAAATAATTGGGACCAACATAACACATGCAACATCACTCCAATCACTGCCTGCCTGCCTGGTGACCATTAATCTTTCTCTGCCCAGTTTCCACTTCCTCTTGGAAAGAGAACAAAATGATAGAGATAAATCTACCTAGTAGACAGTACAGTACACAAAATAATACACTGTTTCCTAATTTAACCCTCTATTTATACTTTATAATACTTTTCAGTATTTCCAGAGTACTGCAAATATAAATGGTTAAGCTATTAAGTGATTAAACAGCTGGTTCAGAGTGGTAACTTTAAGCAGACGTTTCACTTTATTCTGACATTTACCCTCAGAGAACCATTAAAACCCACCCTAAAAATGCTGGGACACCCCCACCCCCGATCTCCACAGATGCAGATAATGATTTGACATTAGGGCTCCAATGGT